TGGCTGTGAAGACTGATCTGAACTTTAAGGACAGGGCAGAACTTCAAAAAAGAAGTCCGGGTATACAATCCAAAATTTAGTCCAAGTAATAAGACATGATATTCCCAAATCTAAGTCCAGCCCAATAAACTCCAAGTCCTACAAGCCCAAAGACACTAATCCTAAGCAGCAATAATATTGCAAACTCCAAGTCTAGCCCCGTTACCATGATTACCTCTAAAAAGTCTAAGTCAGCCCTATTACCTCTAAAAAGTCTCAGTCCAACAAGCCCAAAACTCATATAAATTCCCAACCCCTCAAATTGCAGAAATTTGGAAGCCCATCAACTAATAGTCCAGTTCCCTCTCAATTAACCATCAACCAGCCAGCCCAAAGTCCCAAAGCCTACCCTCCAAGCTCCAAACCCCTTCAGCTCCCAACTTCTCAACCTCCCAGCCTCAGACCCTCAGATCTGAAAAAATTTCAAGGGGTACCCCTTGATTTCTGGCCAAAGCTGAAAAATGTTCTAAGTCCAACAACCTAAGGGTTTTAATTACGAAAACTGGATAAATTTTCAAGAAAGTGCCATGGCAGAGCGGAAAAAGAGAGAGCTGGCATGCAGAAGGTACGCGGTTCAACCCTGCTCCATGCTACTATTTTATTTATTTTTAAAATTTTATCACTGCTGTGAAGAAAAATTCTCCTCCCGGGTCCCCGGCTGGATTTGAACCAGGGACCCAGCGCCTGGCGGTCAGCGAGCTAGACCACCAGGCCACTGGCCTCTTCGAAAATTTGTTCTCGGAACTTATATTTAAAGGTTAGATTGCGCAATATTAAAAAAAAAGAAAAAATGGCCGCCTGGCCTCATTTGAATAATTGAATAATAAAAAGCAGAAAACTGAATATTCAGAAGGAACCACCACAGGTCCAAAATTCTGGTTCTCAAATTTAAATATTTATTTTATACACTTATTGTAGCTTGTATACTTTTTTGAAACGTATTTCACCGGTTTTTTTTTAAAATTAATATTAGTTGTTTTTAAACTTAACTTCATGTACATGTATGTACAAATAAACACAATTCTGTTTAATATGATGAATGTAAACATTAGTTACTTCCCTTTACAAGATTCTAGATTTCTTAATGCTTAAGTAGCCAGTTCTACTTTAAAATGGTTACTAATATTGATTCTTCCGGGCGGGGGGGGGGGGGGGGCACACAATTTGTTTCTATAAAAGGGCAAACTTTTGTTTGAATGTGAAAATGGAGGTTTTTAAGTTCACACCTACATTTTACTTCAGGGCCATCCTTAAATTGTCAGTGATTTTTGCCTACAGCATCTTACACAATATTTGCTTTTCTAATTCTAAAAGTTATAACCACTTCACAATTTAATACAGAGAGACACCTTATTTCAGGAATACTTTCTAGTATAACTAAATTTAAATAACTTAAACTCTGATTACAACAGGTTACATATAGTATATGCATACTGCCCTCTATAGACCGTCTAACATTTTTAACTGTCTATCTGGCTAGATATTCATGCCAATTTATTTTAGAACGCTCAAATTACTTCATGAACACTATCCATTTCCCTTTTCTTTCCATAAATTTAAGGATATCTTAGAGAGCAAATATGTAGGGATCTTGTTTCCTTAAAACACTGATTTTCCTCCCATAACTTTTCCCCATTAGGAATTTAGTTTCACAAAATGTCACTTTACCAAAAAAGTATCAATTGTATATTTAGAAGAAGTTACTAATGTTTAACTTTCTTGTTTGATGGCGCCTTTTACATCACACAAATTTGGTTTTATTTCATTTTGACATGTAAACCATATCTTACACCTTGTAACAAAGCACTATCATCATGCTAAGTGGATCATGCATTAATTCATTCATTAAGCAGCCATCAGCAATTCATGGGCAAAAGAGGGCGCTGCTCACTGAGACTAGTTTTTATTTACTAAAACTAGGGTGTCCAACTAAACATTTCCAAAATTTCATTTAATCTTAGGAGCAAGCTCTAATGTACAAACAAATACCTCAATTGTTTATGCACTGATGTTTTAGGCGTATTGTTTCATTTTATTATTACATTGACTACTTGAGTGTACAAGTTGTAATGCACAAATGGCTTACTACAATACTTTGCATGGGTTGCACTTTTCAATTTACATAAATAATGAATACATACATGAACAGAAATATGATAACACCCAGTAACTTGTTGGGCAACCCGAAAATCTATAGTTTTAGCAAGTATATGGGCAATTCCATGCTGATCGACAGACATAAGAGACATTCGGCACGTTTCAATGCAAATTCACATAAATATCGCGCATTGAGAACAATATTACACGTGACGTTGACATAGCTACTGTGACTACAAATTTCTATATTTTCACTTACTTAAAATAGGTAATTACAATATGTATCAACTTCTCATTTTGGATATTGTGCCCAACATGTCGAATTGCAATTCGAATTGGAAGCTCTTAAGAGTGTTAGGTATTTACCCCCAATTTTTTTTACTCAATTTTTAAACCCCCCGCCCAATATTTTTCAATATACATTTTTCAATATATTTTTGAAAGATTGCCCTTTCCATTAAAATTCATTTTTTTTCACCAGCGCCTACCCCCCCCCCCCCATATTTTGTAAAGAGTGCCTTTTGTCGCCTGTTAGTGTGTATAATCATCGTATTTTTAAAAGCAGCACCATCGACAGATTGGTACTGGTGTAGCATGAATTTAGGTTTTATGAAATACGGACTCCTTGGTGGTATTGCGCATGCTCATGCATAGATAATTAGGAGAGGGACCGGTCATGTGAGAGGGTTTAACCAATAAAAGGGAGTCCGATTTTCATATGACACCGGTACCAGCCCCCCCCCCCCCCAATCGGGAGGCAGTGTCCCAAGAAAAAACGTGTCTACAATTCCACATGAATGTGCAAGTGCCCTTTTCAAAAAGTCCCCCAAATTCAAAATGACCGTCCTAGGCCACTGTTCAGTACACTTTAAGTACTGATACATATAAAAAAAAATTTTTATATTCGGTACACTTTATCATGCCGGACATTTAAAAACAATGCAGGAAACAACTAATACAACAAATTCAAAATTTCTCTTCAAGTTGGCACTTATAATATCCATTTATTTATCATAGCCATATAAAAATATTATTTATCTTATAGTTCATGTGTGTACATGGAAAATTTAAATTTGTAATCAAAAGGAGAAATTAGATGGTATTGGACATTAACAAGATATTAAAAAACTGTTATGTTTCGGCTTTTATCTTCTTTTATATCCAACTGTGACTGTATGCAAGAAGAAATAATTTTTCAGATCAAACTTTGTAGCGATTTTTAAAGAAAATCTTTAAAAAAAATTGTACACTGTCAGGACCTCAAATATAAACCAGATGAAATAAGAAATTTGTCAAAATGACCTAGAAATATAAGTTATCTCCATTATCAACTGTGTGAATAGTCTTGCATATTTAATACATGTCACATTAATATTTTCTTTAACAATTTGAGGTCTCAAATTCCAAACTAATATTAACTACTTTTTTTCTCAAAGTGTTAATTCCTGCTCACTTACTAAAATCCTCATGTTCTTTTCTTTTCTGTTTATTCCTCTCATTTGTTCCTCTTGTGGTCTTCAAACAATCCTTTCTTCCAATTTTTTTTGCTGTGTCTTTCTCTGTGCTGCTGTAATTAAGTTGCAACTTGGGTGTACCTGTATATCTTTTCTGCAAAATATGAAATATTCAACAAAACTTTTAGTATTTTGTTCATGTTTACATTGACAAAATTTTAATTCCTGTTTCTGTAGCACTTCCGAAGATATCCAATGAACCAACAACAAATATTAAATCAACAAATGTAATATCAGCCAACGTTAGTAATGAGGAGTTATGAATATCAAACTATTTGGTGCTGAACAATAATTCAGTTCTCACAGGAAGACTTCCCCCACCCCACCCCACCAGAATGGAAAATGATAGACTACTTGTGCCCAAAAGCAAAACAAATATATTTTTCATTTCATTTCTGAATTATGGAGTTTGGACTGTGACTGACACTATGTTAAGCTAAGATTGTGACTGCATGACATTACACATGGCCAATACTATTACAATATTTCATGGCTGGCCAACAAAAATGTCTGACAAATTATTTTTGAACACTTCTAAGAACTCAAGCTAAGGAAAGTTAAGGCCAAAAAAAAGTCTCCGGTTTCTGGTATGCGCGCGCGTCGCCATAGCCATGCGCGTCGGCAAAATGAAAAAGTTTTTTTTTCAATGAAAGATGATGTCTCAAAACCGCCAAACTCACTGGTTTGACTGGAATCCTGCTACTGCACAATTTTAACGTGTTTTTAGATGGGGTTATGATCGAGAATAAGCTTTATGTGGCCTCTCTGGACTCCCATATATTTGCACTAAGTTTAGTCGGGCACCATTTGCAGTCATCAGCCGACATTTGAAGCAAAAAAGTCAGGTAAAAAAAAAAAGAAAGCCGCGTCGCCGCACCACTTTTTGGACAAGCTCCATACCAGAAACTGGAGACTTATTTTTTTTGGCCTAACAGAATATTTCATTGGTTAGGAAATGTAGCCATTTACATAAAATCACTTTTGATGGCGTTCAAATCATTCAATATGTATCTCTTATTACAAACAAAATCTGACTCGAACTGAAAACTTAAAAATAATACCCATTTTCACAAAGACCCCCTCAAAATGGTAACATAGCAAATTGAGAGGAAATGTTACTGAATAGAAAGCAAAAGACTAATTCAAAATTCCTTACCAGTGCATCCATAAGGCATCATGACGTCTTTGCAGACTGATGTGACGGTGTACCGTAACTCAGAAAATAGTGCGCGCATGGGACTAAACTATATTACAGTTTTAACAAACGCAATGTTACATTGTGTCACTTCAGCAAATCAAACTTGAACTTATACTTTTTTTTGGTCTTGTGTCTCCACCAGCATGGAATTGCCCATATACCTTAAACCATTTACATTTAATAGCCCAGTACATTCTAAATAGACCCAAGGCACCTTGGATGTAGTTTCTCTGATGTTTGATGTCATCACAAAGTGGTGCAGTTTCAGGGCATTCCAACATCAAGAGCAACGTCTTCTTGGTAAGAGCAGGAAAACCTGAAATTCAAGTTGAAAAAAAAATTAAAAAGGGAAATGGAATATAAATAGCATACTTGTATACATGCAGTTTATGATTACTTTTTTTGCAGGCTTTTGTAGCTTTTGAGGCTGCACTGATTTGGGAGAACAACTATATGTATGGAGGAGTTTTGAAGATAGAATTTAGAATTTTAGCTTCCTTTGCGTACCCATCTACGTCAAAATTTTAGTATGAATTTATTATCAACCCATAATTCACATAAAAATATTGCAAAAGCAAGTACTCAAGTATATTGAACAAGTTCTTAGCTCACCTGAAACACATGTGTTCCTCTTCTTGTGGTTCTGATAACAGACGTCTGATGACTTGCTCAGGTTACTAAGGTCCTGTCTTATCAAAGAATGTACAAGAAATGCAATATAGATTAGTTATGGTGGCAAACAAATACCTGCTAGGGTGAAGACAATATTTGATTTCAGATGGTTTATTATCCGGAACAAATGACTGACTTTAAGAGGCAAGCGAGATTTTCTACATGTGACAAACAGAATGGAAAGTTACAGAACAGTCTATGATTGATCTTTGTGTTCATAGAGCTGTCTAACGTGCTATAATAAAAAAAATAGCTACAGGAGCCCCACCAGGGAATGTTAATGAATGAAGTCATGTCGTAGGCCAATTCATATCACTGGAGTAATCACTCTTTCAGTATAGAAGAGAAATTTGGATTGTCTGCAAAGGTTGTCATCAAAGAAGCAGGTTATAGTAATGATCACCTGTCTTTAGGTTTAGGCATTCTCCTGATGACAGTCACAGATCACTGACTAAATCTTCAAATCTTCAGAACCACTTCTCTTTTTAGAGACTGTCACTTCACATGCTGTTCATGTAGAACTTTTCGCTAGTGATTTCTATCGTATTCAACATCACCTACCTAGGCAGAGTCAGCATCCAGGATATCTAGTAGCTACCATTAAACATCAGCTTTGTTAACTTGAACTTTGCTCCTCCACCCCTAGCTACCGACTTCCTCAACGGGATGTGCTCTAGCGCCCATCGCATGGCAGATGGCAGAGAGGTTGGAGCAAAACTACTTCACTGAAACATCCGTCTGTGGTGGCAAGAAATTCGAGATGCAGTGGAAGACCAGGAGACTACTAGTGAAAGATGCTGGTCATCACCTGGCTGTCAGCAACCTCCCTATGGATGCCACAGACAAAGAAAAGGAGACAATACTATCAACGCATGTCATTTGTAACCAGCATGCTTTATATGCAATTGTTGACCAGCTAGGAAGGCAGCTGCAGCTTGCGTGTGTCACACTTGATCGGCAAGTTTCTAATATTCAAACATTCGGTTAAGTGCAGTTTGGAAATCATCAAATACTAAATTATTTGAAAATGGACAGCCCTACAAGCCACGTTTTAGTAGTAGCCAGCAGACCAGCAGTTTATAGTTCACAGTATTTCATTATAAGTTGCTCCTAACTGGAGTTGTTTCCTGCTTGGGTTTGTCTGCTTGTGGAGTCATTGGTTTGTAGATCATTGCTGTGCTTTTACAGTCATTTTCCAATAATGTTGTTTGGTTTTTACTTTTTTTCTTGCTGTCCATTTATCTAAACCTTAGTTTTTCTCAATATTTTCCAAAAATTGTATCCAATTGTTTATTATTTTTATCCTTGAAAGTTTTATTTTTATCCTTGGCAAATTCATTTTAACTTTTCAATTCGTTGTTTGATCCAGATTGAGATTGCTTTCATGTATTGAAAAGAACTTTTTTTATTTAAGGATACAAATTGTATTGCGTGTGTGAAAGATCTCCTTTTTTCAGACTAAATTCAAAATTTGAGAAGTCTATTTGGTTTCTTTGATTCCTTTTCTTTTTTGTCCCAGTTTCTAAAAGTATATCGTGACATAATAATTTCAAGCAGAATTTTTCTTAGTGAGCCATTTTTGTTGTTACACAAGTATCAAACATCTTGGAGAAAATATCACAATTTTATGTGTTTACATGCAGTTAAAATAAATACATTTACAAAATACCAAACATTTAACTAGTCATAACCTAGAACAACATTCCATTTCAAACCTGAAAACCTAGCTTTCCCAGCACCACTTTCCCAGCACCACTACTTCAGAAAGTTCTGATGAAGGTTGATTGGTCAGTCAGTTGTAAATCCACTCGTGAGAAACGCTATCCTTTGCAAGGCTATCGTGCTGTCTGTGTGGTCCACCTGCAGAGGGAGATGTGAGATAGAAACAAAAAGGCATATCAGAGTCAAGTCAACTTGAATTGGATTGAGAACAGTGGGGTCTTAGAATAGTGTTTATCAGACAGGGCTCATAGTGGATCATCAGACAATTTCAGAATTTGAGAACATCTCAACTACAAAGAAGATTTTGTTTCCATCAAAATAAGACATCAATGTTGTAGTTACTATCAAGAGGACATGCAGACTTGAATTGATCTCAAGAGATTATGGAGACTATAATCGGATGACCACATTTGAAAGCAATTTCTGAGGTGGAACCAGTGGACACTTTCAGGGCATATGCACAATCAGCGAATCATTCGTAGTTTGAAAAATATGTTCACAACTTGCAAAACTGTCCTTCAAATACACATGTGTAAATCTTTGTGTCAACAGCAGAGAGTCTACTCTCTACCTTGGAAGTCAACTACAATTGCTCCTTGATTTCAAAGCACAAGTGCAAAATCATAGACCTTATTAAACTGGTAGTTCTTGCTAACAATGACTGCGGCAGATCTTGTCTCCTGCGTGTTTCTCAGAGCCCATACTGACTATCAGGAAAGGAAGAAAAGAAAAACAAGAAATTCATGTTTGATATCTGAAGGAAATAAATGATCAGGGCTGAGAATGACCAGAAAGCATAATTCTTGACAAACGGTGGAATTGAAATAAATTTGCCAAAATGCACTGCGAAAACCAATTTCGAGCCAGCAAGCATGTCGCATTGACAAGCATATCAAAAATGCACAATCTGACTTGAGCATGTATTTTTTTGCTCTGACAAGGACCTCTGAATTGGCAAATGTGCCATCATAATTTCAGCCTTTTCTTAGGTTTATCCGTTCCCTTTGCTGTCTTGAATTGATCATCTTCAGTCAGATGTTTTGCTCACCTTTGATTAGAATGATTCATTGTCATCACAACAAATTCCTCTACAGCCTCTCATCTCCAGTGGGGAGGGGGAGGGTTAAACTGCAATAACAAAATAACTTGCAAACAACATTATCAAGTGGCAAATTGGTGAATTTCCTTTTCATATTAATCAATTAAACTGGAAACTGTTCAGTTTTGAAACTGTTCAATTTGTCGATGCATTTTGAAACAGACAGACCTGACAAAATCAATTTCAAACCGTCTCATGCAGAGCATCAAAAGCCATTAATTTAGAATGCACTTCACAGTACAGAATTTGATTTGTTCACAGACAAATGTCCGATCGTAATTGCAGCCGTTTTGAAGATGTTTCTCCATTCCTTTTGCTGTCTATAATGGATCAGTTGCAATCAGATGCTCACCTTGGATTGGACGATCGGATTCCCCTGAAGTTGTTGGTTCATCGCTACTTTCCCTCTTCTCTCCAGTAAGCTTCTCATCCGTGGTAGCTTGTACCTTGCAGTGTTATCAAAAACAAAACAATCATTCAAGTGGTCAAGTTTTCAAAGTACATTTTGCACACAAATCTTGTCCACAAATTTGTATTTCCAATTATAAACACAAAAGCAATTTTGTTTGTGTTGTTTTACTTATTTGTTCTCTTTTTTTAGCGCGCCCAGAATTTTTAAGCTATAGATTCAGAATGCCAAGTTAAAACTGGAGTGAAATTTTGAGAGGTGGAATCAATTTTAATTTCAACAAAAAAAGGCCTTTGTTTACCCACTCTGAACTCCAGTCAGAAAAAGAGGAGGAGATTGTTTTCCATTGTAAGAAAAGGTTTTAAAATCTTTCTCCAACAGAATGCTTTGGTTTACTAGATGGAAAAAATAATGATCCAAGAAACAAATGGAATGTTTTTTGGGGTCTAAAATTGAAGTCCATGTTGACTGATTGGCAATAATTTTGATGTTTGTTGAGAATTTATTTTTCAAAAGTTGCTAATTAGATTTTCAAATTTCTTCAAAAAGTCATTCCTTCTTAAAATCTTACCTTGTTTTTAGATGTAACCCTTCTGGAAGCACATCCTGGTAAGATTGGTTTAAACAGGGCCACCATGTGAAGGTCCCAGGATACCAGCCCCAAACACGCTTTCAGTATCGTCAGGTCCATTGCTGGGCAAAAGGCCGGCCCCGGAGGGCCATGCACAGTTGCCGACTGTCCGGTACGCCCCCCCAACCCCGAAGGATCAGAAGAGTACCCTAACCTATATGCGTGCCCCCCTCAGTCCATCCCCATTACAGGTTCATGCGTTCTGAGGAAGTAGCAGCGTTTGCCGGCTGTGAATACAGGGCCACGCCCCTATAAAGAGGGACGCACTACCTGCTCCTTTATGGCACGGCATCCTAGGGTTTCCAGGCCGCTGCGTAGGACCCACGTCCCCTCGTGAAAGGCGAACTGCAGTTGTTTTGACTTATAGAATCAGGATAAATTCAAATTGCTTGCACATGAAAAATACTAGAATTGTGGTTTGACTTACTCTGAACAAAACGAATGACTCCACTTGCAAACTGTCACAATACGGGGGGGACAAGTGCATGTGGCCTTGAGCTGCAAAGGAAATGGTTACCTCACCTCATCAGTTAACATGCAACCTTGTTCCCCTGCGCCGATGATTCCGAACAATCCAACGAATGACTCCACTTGCAAACTGTCACAATCCAGGGGGGGGGGGGGGGACAAGTGCATGTGGCCCTGCAAAGAAAATGGTTACCTCACCTCAGTTAACATGCAACCTTGTCCCCCTGTGCCGATGATTCCGAACAATCTATCGAACGACTCCACTTGCAAACTGTACACTTTCACAATCCAGGGGTCTCTTGTGCATGTTCACATCTGCAGAAAATCAATGCAAATAAATTAATGTTCATTTAATTTGAAGTATTTTCCTTGTATTGCCTTTGGTCAAATAATGAAAAGCTGAAATTTATAAAATACCAGATTCATTATATTTGCCTTGTTACACTCTAAAAACAGATAGGTTAACAGAACCAATCATTGGTTGAATTAATCAACAATTGTTTAATATGTGTTGAACTAATTGGGCTGGTTGGATACATTTTAACCAACATTGGTTATTTAACCAATCTGTTTTTAGAATGACCTATAGTGTCATGCCCCATAACATGTGTTAATTTGTGAAACAAACCCAAACCTAGTTAAATGATGCATTGCTATAGCATCAGCAAAATCTTTTTTAAGTATCTGACAATTAACAATGATTTTTTTTTTAGGGGGGGTACCTCCGAGGTTTCTGAGTGATACAGGTATCCACAGGTAGCGAGGATGGCAAATTCTACTTCTCCCAACATCAGAAAGTCACCAGTATTCCACGTCTCCCACATCAGAATAGGCAGTGTTCCTCAAAGTTCCAGTTGGTCCTTCCAAACAAGCATCGTCCTTCCAAACACGCATCGTCCTTCCAAACACGCATCGTCCTTCCAAACACGCATCGTCCTTCCAAACAAGCATCGTCCTTCCAAACAAGCATCGTCCTTCCAAACAAGCATCGTCCTTCCAAACAAGCATCGTCCTTCCAAACACACATCGTCCTTCCAAACAAGCATCGTTCTTCCAAACAAGCATCGTCCTTCCAAACAAGCATCGTTCTTCCAAACAAGCATCGTCCTTCCAAACAAGCATCGTTCTTCCAAACACGCATCGTTCTTCCAAACAAGCATCGTTCTTCCAAACAAGCATCGTTCTTCCAAACAAGCATCGTTCTTCCAAACAAGCATCGTCCTTCCAAACACACATCGTCCTTCCAAACAAGCATCGTCCTTCCAAACACACATCGTCCTTCCAAACACACATCGTCCTTCCAAACAAGCATCGTCCTTCCAAACAAGCATCGTCCTTCCAAACAAGTATCGTCCTTCCAAACAAGCATCGTCCTTCCAAACAAGCATCATCCTTCCAAACAAGTATCGTCCTTCCAAACAAGCATCGTCCTTCCAAACACGCATCATCCTTCCAAACAAGTATCGTCCTTCCAAACACACATCGTCCTTCCAAACAAGTGTCCAAACAACCTTCCAATATTGCATGGAGTTCAAGGTAGGCATGTTCTTCAGTTGTGCTTCCAAGGCGATGGTATCAAGTTATGTTCCAGTTTGCAACGAGTCCGCACTGGAGAAACGCAATACTCAACCAAACAGTCATGTCCATCCTTTGTTCCAAACTGGTCAGATGTGCAGCAGTATTGCCTGTACTGTTAATGTCCAAAGTTCATCCAGGGGCAACTTATAATTGGAGGCAATTTTCAGAGTTTCTCCATAATGACTCTCACATTTTACTGCTCCGTACTGAACATTGTCCCAAGTATGTCAAGGGCCAACTTGAGTAAATGTCCTATACCTAAATTTTTAAATCATGTGGTTATGGCAAACAAGAAATGTGAGTTTCTTTGTTTGTAATTATAGTTTAAAACTAAAATTCTTTCAGGTTTATGCCTTATACTAACTAATCCTTTTAAACATTTCTTTTTATGAATGTAGTTTTTAAATTGCATTTTTACATTGAACACATCCTTTATTGTTTGGCTATTTATCATTTATACCATTTTCAGAGAATTTAATTTCATTAAAAATTTTGTCCATTTTTAACATTAGGCCAAAAAAAAAAGTCTCCGGTTTCTGGTATGGAGCTTGCCCAAAAAGTGGTGCGGCTACGCGGCTTTTTTTTTTACCTGATTTTTTTGCCTCAAATGTCGGCTGATGACTGCAAATGGTGCCCGACTAAACTTAGTGCAAATTATATGGGAGTCCAGAGAGGCCACATAAAGCTTATTCTCGACCATAACCTAATCCAAAAACACGTTAACCCTAACCCACCTCACTCCTCCAAAATCCTCCTGACGGTTTTGGAGGATTCTAGAGGATTGAGGATGAATGGTGATTGAATCAAATGAGGATTCTGGAGGATTGAGGATGAATGGTGATTGAAGCACATGAGGATTTTGGAGGATTGAGGATGAATGGTGAATGAAGCACAAGAGGATTTTGGAGGATTGAGGATGAATGCATTTTGAGGCAGGACTGTCTGATGATTTTGAAGGATTTGGCGTTGGTTATCCTTCATTTAAACATGAGTGCAAAGTTTTGGGATGAGGAGGATTTTGGAGGATTGAGGATGAATGCATTTTGAGGCAGGACTGTCTGACAATTTAGAAAAATTTAGGCGGAGTTGAAAAATTTTGGAGGATTTTGGAGGATTGAGGATGGTTGTAAGCAACAAGGGCCTAGGGGGTTAGGGTTAAAATTGTGCAGCAGCAGGATTCCAGTCATACCAGTGAGATTGGCGGTTTTGAGACATCATCTTTCATTGGAAAAAAACCTTTTCATTTTGCCGACGCGCATGGCTACGGCGACGCGCGCGCATACCAGAAACCGGAGACTTTTCTTTTGGCCTTAAGATTGGTCTTTTAAATATGTCCTTTTTTTAGATTATGCTCTGAAAGAATTTGTTGAAAGCATTTTCATTTCCTTTCTTGTTTGTGCTCATTATTTCTGCCAAATGTAAAAGTTGACTCAAATTGTTTGCATTTCAATAAATTGTGTAAATGCTAAGAGCTGTTTTTACTGGCAGTCCAGCTTTGAGAAACTAAGAAGAAAATGCGCAAGTGAACTCAAGTTCCCAAGAAGCATAGAATATTTCCCCAGTCCTTGCAACATTTTGTCAGGTCTGGTTAGTGGTTAATTAGGTGGTTTATGTCGTCAGTGCCAGTGGTTAATATGACTGTCTGTCAATGGATGCATGCAGATGATTGAATGACCTAACAAATGCTGCAAGGGTCCACAGTTTTACACAGAACAGTGGAAACAAAAATGACTTTGGCATACTTGAATGCTACCACATTGTAGTCAAAACTGGATTGCCATCCCAAGTGAGCTGCCTCACATCTAAAGCTAAATTTGACTTTTATGAGCTTTGTCCTTAGGTTTCACGGTTACATTTATGGTTCTGCTGATGCTTCTAAATTAACTTAAAATCAAGTGGAAGACTTTAATAGTTTTAGGCACTGAACATTCTTAAATCTAAACAAATATTGATTTATTTATTAAAGTGAATTAAACATAGTTATACATATTTGAAGTTTAAATTTACTTTTATGAGCACTAACCTAATGTTAAGGTTAGGTTTACTGTGCAACTTTTTTTCAAGTTATTTTAAAATTGAACTTAATTAGTTCCAAGCATCTACGTGCTCGGGGTCTAAACATCACGAAGATTTAAACATTTGTTAATGTATTTGGAATCAAATCACTCATTTCAGATTTCAGTTTTACTACATAACTCATAAGATTATTTCCATGCCCCAAGAAGTTGGCCCTATAGACTTTACTGGAGCTTTGTTCTAGAGCATATTAGTTCAATGAACAGAGTTTAACCATGACAAACCAAATGGCAAGGACTTTGAAAGTTGGGCATTCCTTCAGTTGAAGATCAGCTTTGCGTGGTTCACATAAGCATTCTTGACAGCATCCACTTCATTGGCTCTGAGTCTGACTGTCATGATAACCACCTGTAAATAACAAGAGTGCAACTTATCAGTTTTCAATGGCAGACTTGTGAGAGCTACCATTCAGTATTGAACATTCAAGAGACTAGCCCCATAAATGTGGCCTATTTACTGGACTGCCTCCGTAAACATAGGCCACACATCCATGTGTACAGAAAACGTGTCAACTTTGCCAAATTTTGATTTTCACATTTAGGCTTACTTTGTAGGTTTTTTTTTGCTTTAGAAGCATTCTCACCCTCTATATAGGCTAATCAGAAAGTGCTGCCTTTTTCAGATGTCCATTTTTCGTGAAATTTCCAGATACATTTGCACACGTTTGCGTATCAAAATTTCAACATGAAATTTCACAAAAATTAGACATCTGAAAAAGGCAGCACTCTCTGATTAGCCTATATAGAGGGTGAGAATGCTTCTAAAGCAAAAAAAACCTACAAAGTAAGCCTAAATGTGAAAATCAAAATTTGGCAAAGTCGACACGTTTTTTGTACACGTGGATGTGTGGCTTATGTTTAGGCCAAACAAAAAAAATGGTGTGTTTACGGTCACCCGACCGACCTGGAATTTTTTCGGCCAAATTGCCGACCTCAAACTTTTTATTGCCATTTTGAAGGTTGATAATTGACAAATTTCAAACATTTCAAGTACTTTTAATTATTTGCC